CGGCCGGCGTCCCGCGATGGTGCGCTGCCGTCGCTGCCAGTGGCGGTGTCTCCGTAGGGTGTGCCATCAAGCGTGGCCGTGGGGTAATGATAATGTATCTGGACTCTGACGGTTGTATGGTGTGCTGCATATGAATGAGATGGATGGGGGGCGCAGTGTACGTCTATTGGGATGTCCTCACAAAAGTCTTTTAAGAATTAAGCGTGTGTGCGGCAACGTCCGAAATCATCCTGATGGGGTCGTTTCCTTTAAAGGAAATACTACGAGGTTGAGTCCAACTTGAGCCGGTAAGAGTTCGTTTCATTTTTGGCGTTCATGACCACGCTGCTTACCAAAGATGTTGTCCTGCAGAGAGAGAGGACGCATATCAGACAGATCCACGGTTTCTCGGCGGTGTCGAGTCGGGATTGCGACCACGACAGAGACTTCAAATTTTCAGCAGGAAGCTTCATGGTAGCCGATGGTACAGAGTCGATTATACCGCCGCATACCATCAGTAGAAATAACTACATTCCTGAGCGGCCTTTAAAGAGCATGCGCCCTCGATTGTTTCCGTGTCCGCCCCGATCGACGCTGACAGTTGTGCCGGCCGAGGATAAAGACCCAAGTTCAACTTGCGCGACTTTCTCCCATCTCTCCCTCTCCCCCCCATCATGCGCTTTTTTCTCTCTGTCCTACTTGCCACATCCTACGCACTGACAGCCGTTCTTGCGCACGCACCAAGCAAGACCCAGCGTCGCGACACTTGGTACCACGACGAAGACCATCCTGTTCACGCCCTCTTCAGACGCGATCCGGCCTCCCCAAGTAAGCCGCTCCGTTGGCATGTCTCTCTCGACTAATGATACACTACATTTTCCAGCCGCCTCGGCTGCGTACCCTTCTCATTCGCCCGACCCAAGCAACCTTCCACAGGCGTGGATCGATGCGCTCAATGCTGCCATGGCTTCGGGAAAGATCCCAGATTTGCCTCAGTCTACCATGAACCCTGGCCGTGACCCAACGTATGGAAGTCTCGATCCGAACAGCCCACAGGTATGTTCGACGACGTACCAGTGTAAGATCGACGGCGACATATGGGACGGTCCAAACGGCACCGTCGGCGCTGGCTTCGACGACGGACCGCTGCCTGTAAGCTCCACGAGCGCTGACATCGCTGCACTTGGTTCACCAGTATTTATTTAGCCCTCAACAAAACTATACAGTTTCCTCAAACAGAACAATTTGCATGCGACACATTTCATGATTGGCTTGAACATCGTGCAATACCGGACCCAGTTTGACATAGCCGTCAATACGAATGAGGGTGCGCATTCACTATCACGAAAAGATCCATGCTAATCATGGGGTGCATCGTCAGACGACATCGCCGTACACACCTGGACACACCCGTATATGACCACACTCAGTAACCTTCAGGTCCTCGGGGAGCTCGGATGGACGATGCAGATCATACACGACCTAACTGGTGGACGCGTTCCGCGATTCTGGCGTCCACCGTATGGAGATTCGGACGTTCGTGTTCACGCCATTGCCCTCGAGGTCTTCGGACTTACCACCATCATGTGGAACTACGAGTATGTCTCATTCTCCTTCCCTATCGGAAAGCGTGCAATTCACATACCACCCGCTCACATAGCACCAACGATTGGGCACTCGAGTCGGGTGGGACAAGCATGGCCGCCATCAAAAAGTCCCTCCAAAAGTGGTACGGCGGGAGCAAGAGCCCAGGGCTGATCATCCTCGAGCACGAACTCAGCGATCAGAGCGTAGAGGCATACATCGACGCGTTCCCGCTCATCGCACAAAATGGCTGGGACGTCGAGAGTGTCGTGCGCCTCTTTGGTGGCGCTTACAAGAACACCAGCGGCGCCGACGCCGAGGTCGGCGGGAGTATACTTGTTGCCGAGGTTGGTGGTACCATAGGCGGCGATGGCAGCGACGGTAACGCGGGCGGCGCCGGAAATGCCGATACCGCAGGCGCAGGTGGAGGCAACGACTCGACGCCAAATGTTATGGCCGCCAACGCTAGCCCCAACTCGCCGGGGAGCCACACGACTGAGCCCACTCATACATCGGGCACATCAAATGCGCCCACGTCCCCGAACGCGCAGAAGAGCAGTTCGGCGCCATGGTATGGCACAGGGATAGTCCCTTGGATCATGTCACTGGTTGGCTTGGTCTTCGCTGGACTCACGTTCTGAAGCCGTGGTTGGACCTTCTCCCGGTCGTCTTCACATCATTCAATTCCTGTTTGTCAGCACACACAACTCACCATAGAACATGTATCCATAACATGATACCCAGCCGATGTAGCACTGCCGAATCGTCCTATAGAGTTCTTTCGTCCTCCATTTTCTTGAATTTGAAGTAAATCAAGGTCATCCGTAGTACAAAACAAACATCCGTCAATTTCTCCGTACTCATACATCAATATACATATACATTATATGTGAACGTAGATCATTTGCAACTCTTGGACTTAAACTTGGATCTCCTCCGCGAGTTTGTCAAAGAGAACCTTCAGCCTTCCAGCTTCATATTTCGCCATGGTCGCATTGGCATCAAATGTAATCGACTCCGTGAGGGCGGGCAGCGTGGTGGCACCATAGCCTGTTCGGGATATACTTAGCTCGCAAACTACGCAGCCTGGAAACCACTCACCCAGCCATTTTCCCGGAGCGACACCGAGGTGGCGGTACCACTCACGGTCCCTGATACCATCAGGATGGATGAACCCCCGTTCAAACGCGACCAGCTTCTTATTCGCAGCGCGCACACGCTTGACGGCACGCACGAACGCCTCGCGGAGCTCCTTGTCTTTCCCGTCGTGAGCTTCGATGTGGCACTTCTGACCACGCACATGCTTGTCTGCACTGTCGCGCCCGTGCTCGCGCTCACGTTGCTCCTTGAGCATGCCTGCCCAGCGCCCAACGCGTGGCTTTACCGTCCGACCTTCGATTGTGCGTGCTGGCGACGCGGGATGAGCGTGGCCAGCACGAGGGCGTGCGTGCTCCTCATTGCCGCGGTGTCCGTACTCCTCTCCCGCCTCGTGCTTGCGGTGCTTGCACGGCTTACGGAAGATCTTCCGCAGCTTGCACCACGCCTTGCGGATGTGGTCTCTGACAAACTTGCGTCGTGCAATGCGCCTAATGAGGTGCCTGAGCTCGCTTTCTGCTTCCGACTTTTCGTTATCGAGGGCCACGCTTGCAGCACGCAGCGAGCTGATCGATTCGCGCAGAGACGAGAAATCAACGTCAAGCGCCATCGATGACCTCAGCTGTTCCACTCTGCAGACAGGTCAAGGGCTGCCTGGTATATCTAAGCGCGCACTCACTTGTCAAGATACGCATCCAGTTGCACTGAATAGTGGGTTGTATTCAGAGGGAGGACGATGGAATCAGCAAGCCTCAAGGTCTGGAGGCCCAAGAATCGGGCAATTGCGACCTAGGGAGATGATGAGTGAAGATGACAAACCCCATTAACGAATGGCGTACATGACGTAAAAATCCCGGGTCAGCATATAATTCCTGCCACCGTTCCGAGTCGAAGACAGAATGGTAGTGGTATACCGGATCAGACAACGTCGACTTGAAGCCGTTATTCGTACTCGCCACCTAGCGTGTCGGGGTCAACAAGAAACACAGTATACTAGAAATTGACATACACCAATACGTTGAAGGAACACCGTATAATCACTGCCGGAGCCTAAGACGTTGACGCCAAGGTCATCAGCTGCCATTTGAGCCTGCTCCTCTTCGTAAACGGAAAGCGCTTCTGCGTCGATGTGATTGCCGTATAAAGGGCCTTTGTCTTTTGTGGCATCCCAAAGTGTAAGGCCAGGTTTGGTAGGATGTGCAATGGTTTCTGCTGCAGAACGCATGAAATGGGAAAGGGACGGAGAGGCAGCGCTGTAGAAGCTAGATCCAGACACAGATGAATCTGAAACAGACGGTAGGTTAATGACACGAACTGACTGATTGAAAGGATAGCATACCGAGATTCACATACGCAACGACGTGTTCGTCGATCCAATCCGCAAAGTCTTCGCCCCATTCGGTGCTTCCGATCAGACCATACTGTGAAGGGTGTAAGATTAGTTCAGTCAATCATTCAGTTCATGGCAAATATACCTCTTCGGCGTCCCAGCTAGCGATGAGGATAGTTCGAAGAGGCTTCCAGCCTTGCTTGAGCAGTACACCGAGGCCACGGATTACCTCGTGGATCGAAGCAGTACCAGATGAGGGGTCAGTGGCACCCAAGACCTACCGGAAGGAGGAAAAATCATGTCAATTAGGGAGAACGAACAGGCAAAACACAATCGATATACCCAAGCTGCACGTATGCAATGAGCAACTGCGAACTGCTTCATGGATTCGACGAAGGCTCACCATCACGGTGGTTTCCAATAACAACGACCTCGTCCTTGATATATCCCGGTATTACACCCATCGTATTCCAGATCGGAATCACCCTATCATCAACTATTCACAAGAGCAAGTTAGTTCACACTTGTTGAAAATGCGATAACTGCTCGAGCTCACCATGGTTAACTAACGATATCGTGCGATTACCACCGCCTTCTTCAATTTCGTCCAAAAGCACCTTGGCATTAGCCCACGAAATGGGTAGACTTGGAATGGTGGGAATATTAGTCCCTTCCGTACGGGTACTGTTCTCGTATGAGGGATATCCGGGAGTCGTTGGGTCTCTGGCAGCGAGGTCAGCAACTGCGACGGCTGAAAATATGGCATACACACCCGGGGTAAATAGACAAGAATTGCGTGCTGCCGCGCTGAACGGATGTTGGGTTGCGTGCGGGGCCATTAGGATATCTATTGCGATGATGAGGCAAGCAAAAAAAAATCAAGTTTATTTCAAACGCACGCCTCATAGCCATTCTCCTGGGTGACGGTCCCATCATCACGAGGGTCCGAATATATAAGACAAGCGACGGCGCCGAGGTCTTGTGCTCCCTTGACCTAAACTCCCAGCATTCGTAAGTGCCAGCTAGAGGACCGAGGAGCAAGCTGACCTTGAGCCCACGGAAGATCCCTCCATATCGGGTGATGACAATTGTACCATTGAGTTCGACACCTAATGAGGGGCAGAATGGATTATAAATAACAAAATCTCGAGCTTCTGCTCACCTGAAGCGACTAGCGCGTCGTAGTCTTGCTTCCTTCCATAGTTCGCATACACCAGTTTGCCTGCTGCTTCCCCACCCCTGCTCAATCCATGGAAAGTCGGGACAGCATCGGCGTATTTCCCAGCATCCGAATCCGTCTCATCTGCCTGCTCCTCAAGGTTGGCAGCCCACACAGCGTTGCCGTCTTCATCGAGTATTTCCAGACTGCGATCAAGAGGTGTGTTCATGACAGGGTAATATACGTCGATCCAGGCAGATGGCTTGGAAGGGGACGAAGAGGTGATGGAAAGTGTGGCACCGCGCGACTCGGAAGAGCCAGCGGGGAAGACGGGGAGCGGTGATGAAGCGGAAATGCCGAGCTCTGACTGTAGCAGGGCGAGAAAGTCAGTCGCAGTCTTGTAGTCGCCTTCGGAGCCTGCGAGATGAGGGGCAGTTGCGTACTGACGGGAGGTGGCCAAGGCACTAGCAGGGTTGGGGACCGCGCTGTGATATCTATGTCAGCGGGGAGCATAATTGCGAACTAGACAGAAAGCGGCCCTTACAGGAATATCTCCTCCGCAACCTTTCCAAAAGGTGCCGCTTTGTGTTTGAATCCTTTCTGCGAGTGCCCTCCAAACGCTTTCGCAAGCCACAAGCCTTGCTGGGCGTTGATTTCCCGGTTGATCTGACAGACCAAGGAGCCCACATAGTAGAACGTGGCAATAGCCGCAATTCCAACGAGCACCGTTCGCCGCAAGAGGCACCGACCGCGAGCGGGTGCCGGAGACGATACGACCGGGGCAGGTATGGTTCCAGGCTGCTTTTCAAGTTTTGCTGACGGCTTGTTCCCCGCCATGGCGTGGTCCATGTTGTTGCAAATCAACGAGAGGCGGTGTTCATATATGCGGAGGCAAGTTAGGTGAGCCGCAGTAGTACGTGGGATCCTTGAGTAGATGCGAAGCACGTATTCAGTGCGAGTCTGCGTAATGCCGGCAAGCCGACGGCACAAGACGATGCAATGATTAGTATAGCCAGAAAGATATGGATTTACCAGTAAGACTCTAATCGACACTCCAAAGACATTTCTACGCACCGTTGACAGACAAGAGGAAAGAGACGACAGTCCTTCAGCGCTTCAGCCGCGGAACAACTTAGAGAGCTCCCTATCCGCAACCGCCGGCCAGAATGAGGTCATGCACTCAGAGACGCGTCCCGGTGGCTGAGTTTCCTCGTTTCCATGCGTCCCGGCGCCGCACGAGTTTGTCTGGACAGAAAGCGAGAGCTCTCATTTCAAGCACAACACTGATATGCTACATACATCTTCGAAACATACAGAACCTAATCAGAGTCCATACACAAGCACTCTGCTCTACGGCATCCAACTAGTATTTCCCAAGGACAATGCATGTGCGCGTGGGGATATACACCTGCAGATATGAGTCTTGAGAATCCGTTGTGCATGCCTCTGAGGGCTCAGTGCCTACCTGTAGCCAATTCTTCCTCCCATTCCATTCCATGGGCGTCGTGAAATACTGCCCTCCCAGCGTCACGTTGTCGAACCCGCCAAACCGCTTTTCGTCGCTCGTCAAGACGACATGATACTCACCCGGCTCCTCTACACCAACCCGATAGTCCGTGAATGACTGCGTCGCGTTGAAGTTGAATACGAACAGAAGACCCCCGCGCTCAAACACGACGACTTTGTCCACCTCATGTTTCAGAGAGACATATGCAGGCTCTGCTGCGAGCCACCCGTACTTCTCTTCTGTATGATTCATCGCCTTATCGAATTCGTTCAGATACCTATACCGCAGGAGTTGATCGTCGACAACGTTCCACTGTCTTCGAGCATAGTGGAAAGAATTCCCGTTTCCTTCGCGGGGAAAATCAAGCCACTACTGCGAGTAAGCAACTAGACTGTATCAAAATATGGCACACATACACACATACCTCAGGATGACCGAATTCATTGCCTTCGAAATTGAGATAACCCTCCCCTCCAAGCGAATGAACGAGTAATCTGTTTTCAATCAGATCATTGGCATTCACGTCCATAGGTTACGCACCGAATCATCTTGTGCAAAGCGATACCTCTGGCAATGACCGGCGTATACTCCGTCAAGTCCGACATATTCGTGTACATCTCTTTGTCCATCAACCAGAACGCGAGCGTCTTGTCACCGACGAGTGCCTGGTCGTGGCTCTCCGCATACGCAATGCTCTTCTCGCGATATCGGCGGTTCGTCAGTGTGTGCACAATATTCCCCATCTCCCACTCGTCGTCGCTCTTGTGCTTCAACAACTTGATCCACATATCAGGTATCGCCATCGACAGGCGGTAGTCGAATCCTACACCACCCTTTCCTACAGGAGCACAGAGCAACGGCATACCAGAAACATCTTCGGCAATAGTGATACAAGATGGGTATAGTTCATGCATCGCATCGTTCGCCTGCAAGGCGGGATAAGTAGTATGCGATTTGAACATAAGGGAACTTACCAGCATGAGATACCCAATTGCCTCAATGTCTGCACCGGGGCCAAAGTATTCATGGTATCCGCCAGAGAAACCGGTCCCGATACCATGGTGTACATACATCATGCTGGTCACTCCGTCGAAACGAAATCCGTCGAATTGATACTCCTCCATCCAGAAGCGGAGATTGCTCATGAGGAAGCGTAGCACCTCATAACTGCCGTAGTTGAAGAGACGGCTGTCCCAGAGCTCATGACGACCCCTACCACCTTCGTGAAAGTAATGATGGTCCGTGCCATCGAAGTGATTTAGCCCATCCAGTACGTTCTTGCATGCATGCGAGTGTACGATGTCAAGAAGGACGGTAATCCCCATTCCGTGAGCGGTGTCAATAAGTTCTTTGAGGTGCTCCGGTGTTCCATAGCGCGAGCTGGCCGCGAAGAAGTTCGTTACCTGATACCCAAACGCTGTCAAGGGGCTATGAGAAACACATCGAGATAACCCAAGACATAGTACCCACAAGCATAATAAGCGTGCTCCATGATAGCCATCAGCTGAATTGTGTTGTATCCGAGGTCTCTGATCCTGGGTAGCATATTTGCCGTGAATTCCTTGTACGTCCCAACCCTGTATTCAGAGGTCGAGATACCAACATGCGCTTCATATATGCGCACGCTCTTCGGCTGGGGAGGACGTATGTGTTTGAATTTGTATCGTTCTTCTTCAGGTGGGTTCCAGAACCGTGCATCGTACACGGGGGAGACGGACAGATCTTGAGTGACGCGCTTGATCCAAGCGGGGAGTCGTTCAATGCGCTCGCCCGACAACGTTATCATGGAGATCTAGTACAATTTATATAAGTACAAAGGGTCCGCGAGTGTTCTGGATAATGGCGGACCTTCAGCTTCGAGTCATGAGGAATAGCACATATGCCAGGTGCCTTGGGAGGCACAGTAATCTCCCAAACACCAAAGGAGTCCTTCACCATAGGATGGGAAATCCGGTTCCAGTTATCTGCGCAAGACGATAAGTCGCTTGCTTTTAAGAGGAACGCAAGCATACTCACTAAATTCACCGATAAGGACCGCCTCCTTGACAGTGGGTGCCCACTCTCTGTATACCACCGACCCGTCCCCCCTGACATTCAAGCCGAACTTGAGATAGCCCTGGGTGAATGAGTCGTATCCGCCCTCATTCTTCTCGATAGTGTCCTTCCATTTTCTGAACGCGTCGTGGCGGTGAACTATAGCAGATACATTATGCTCGAGCCACGGATCGATATCGAGCACGGTCTTCGCGACGAGGGGGGCAGTGGACATGATCTTTGGTGTCTAGGACTGAACGGGAACCAGAGATGGATCGATGCAGAGGACGAACAGCGCATATATATCGGTTATGGATGGACTGGTGCTCGCATTCACCCGAGCCCAGTGCCAGCGGTGGAATTGTCTCCCAATTAATGTCATGTCCCGCTTCGAGATCCAGACGCGTGACGCGTCCTGACATCATCGCACGTGCGAGGCCAATACCAAGCATGTGACCGCGACGCGTGGAGGAACCTCGGAAATTTGGCAGCTGATCGCCCCAGGCACACCGGGGAACACCAGCTTGCGCTCACGACGCGCGCCAGCAGCGAGAGCACGAATATTCGCCGTGCCATCCTATGTCGGGCTCTTATCCACGACCTCCATCATGCTTCCAGCACCAGCAAACACCTCGGTACTGGGAAATGTCATATCCAAGCTTATATCCGTAGTAACCATCCTCGGCCTGTCCCTTGTCGTCTTCGCCTACCGGCGGACTCTGACGCCGCTCTACGGCACAGCTCCTACCGACCACCACTTCAATAAAATTGTATGGCTCGCCTGTATTGCTGGTAGCTTTGCGCCTGCTCTGTCCGCCTCGCGTGCAACCCTCGCTGCTGGAATCCTACTATGTATCATGCCTCACACAGCCTATTGGCTCGCTGTCTTCAGCGGACGGCTGGGCAGTCCTACATGGGGACCAGTCCTTACACACTTGACCGTGATTGTCCCTGCTATATTTCTTGGATTTTCAATCGTCAAAGCAGTTCAGGTGGGTCAACCTCGACGTGTTGAATTATCTTCTTTCTGCATCTGGGCCCTCTGACGCCTTACACAGCAAAACGTAGAGCAAGAAAACGCTAATGCTCCTCAACAAATGATTACTCTTCCTGTGGCTCAGACAACAATCATGACACTGCAGGACTTATGGCCTGCTGTGCCCTACCTCAAAGAAGCATCGGAAAGTCAAGTTGTAAGTACTGACTTTCAATTCACCTAATTTACCATCCATTCATTTGCCATCAAGCTTTTGTATGCGGGAACCCTGTTGCTTGTAGTATGGGCTATCTCACCTTTATTGCCCACTATTCCTTCGGTGGAACTCCCACCGATACAACTCGTGGAAGCACCAGCGAATGTAGGTTCCGCCAAAGCAATCAAGTCGAAAGGTCAACACAAGAAGAAGTCTTCCATGGCTAGATCATCTGTATCTGTGCCAATAGAGTCAAAGCGACATCCCTTGCCATCGACTCCGAACTCCACAAGCCAAAGCTATGGGCGGCTCTTCGTGCTCCCGCTCCTGTTCGTGCTGACCATGACCAGTCTTCAATCACCCACGCTCCCGAAACCCCTTCTCAGTGTCTACAATCACCCCTCCTACCCACTCCGTATACTCTCCTCTGTTCCCTCGCGATACTCTGGTGTCCTCGTTGTCGGCGAGGCCCTCCCGCCAACAGAGGGTCAGCCCATTGTGGGGAACTTGCACTCAATGCGGTATTTGCGCGCAGGGCATTCGCTACTTGGAGGCACCTGGATGGGAAGTATGGCAACGGCTGGGCGCGAGAGATCCGACCCTGCTGCGAGAGATGAGGCAGGCGAGCCTTTGGGCGAATCCATTTATCACGCTTTCATGATGCAGGAGGCAGTGAGATTAGCGAAACGGCCTGACGGGAATGAGCATGAAAGTGCTCTTGTAATGTGAGCACTTTGGTATGTCAGGTTACTGGTTGTCACTAAGTACCCTGGTAGTGGTCTTGGTATTGGCACGTCGGCTTCCGCGCTTTTACAGAACGGAGTGTCGACCACTGTTGTTGAGATTGACCCTGCCGTATATGACGCCGCAAGACGATTCTTCGCGTTTCCCGAGCTCGATCCTGAGAAGATCGTTCTCAGGGATGCTAGAGGATGGGTAAGAGAACGTAAACTTATGATAGAGAACGAGACATCGTCAGAGTATACCGCGCAACAAGACAAACAACCCTTGGAGCTTTACGACATGGTCCTGCACGACGTATTCTCTGGTGGTGGTCTCCCGGCACACGTCTTCACACAACAATTCTGGAATGACACAAAGCATCTAATGCATCCTGATGGTGTGCTAGCTGTGGTAAGTCATCTTTTCTGACAGTCGGGAACATCGTCTGATTGTCGTGTCATGTAATGAAGAATTTTGCGGGACAACTCGACTCTGAATCGTCTCGTGCAATCATACTCACTCTAGAGTCTGTCTTTGGAGCGTGTCGTGCGTTCAGTGACGAGCTGAATCCAGATCAAGAAGCGCGCAGTCAATACCACAATTGGGTTAGTCTTCCTTGCTCGCATTTTAGGTCCTTGAAGAGAATTGAGACCCTCTTGGCGCACCCAGGTGTTCTTTTGCACACCGTCAAATTCTGCGCTTACATTCCGAGCGCCACGTACATCCGACTATTTGGGATCATTGCAGCGTCGACAGATCTTCAGTACACTCTCACAGCGAGAGATTGATCTTGCGCCAGTGCGCGATGGTGTTTCCGAAAAGCAACGATCGCAGTATATTTTGACAGATGCTAGCAATTCACTCGGGAAATGGCAAGAGACAGAGGCTTTGCATCACTGGTCTATCATGCGGGAGGTGCTTCCCGATACTATATGGGAAACATACTAGTAGGTGTTTCCTGAATCTTGATGGAATTTGTCAAGCTGTATAGTTCGGGATGGTCCTGGTACCAACGACCCAGGTGGTGTACTGTAGACAAACGATTGACCAAAAGAGATATCCATGTTTGTGGTTGAAGCCCCGGTTGCCAGAGTAGGACGCAAAAATGTGGTGTGCGTGGGGATTTCTAGAGTCTTGTAATTAAGTGACTACAATACATGGAGCCTGAAATGGATTATTCGAAGAACCATAACCGCGGCACCCGGGCCATCGGCAGGCAACGCGAGCAGCGCGATCACATGTCATCCGTCACGGAGAATGTTGAGCGTGTGGCTGGATGTGGCTTGGTCCTGGCTTGTCAGCGTACTTGAAGCGCGGTGCTCTGCGCCCAAACTCCCTTCCTCGCTCTGTTTTCAACCAAGTCCTCGCGCGCTAGTTGATTACGATCACCCCACAAAACACAAAATACTCCACCATCTGGGTATTGAAAGCCCTCAGCGTATACTTGTTGTACTTTCCATTATGGTTCC